AGGCGGGGCAGATGGTCACAACCCGGCCGCTGGTGCCACCCAACCCCCTTCCCCGGCTGGTTCTGTGCCGGGACCCGGGGCGCGGGCTGCCCGGTGGGCAGGCGCTGAGGGAGGCGCTAGGCAGGGTGCTGCGCACAGCGCCGGCCCCGGAACGGTTTCCCGCCAGGGCCGGTGCTGTACTCGGGCCGAGGTGGTCCCCAGGCCGCCCCTCGGGGGAGCGGGGGCGGAGTCACAGCGGCGCCCCCGAGCGGGCTGGAACGCGCACCGTAGTAAAGATGGCGCCCGGCCTGCCCGCCCTCAACATGGCGCCGGCGGCCTCGCGGCGGGCACGTGACCCGCTCGGGCTCCGCCCCCAGCGCTCCATGGCGTCCCGGTGAGCCCCCCAGCGGGGAGGGAGCCGGGCTGCAGCCGCTACGGGAGGCCGCGGGCGGGCGGGCATGCAGCGGCCGGCGGGCTGAGCGGCCGATCGCAGCCCCCGCCGGGGATGTGCCCTGGGCCCGGGCGCCATGTCCAGGGTGAGCGGCCCCGGGCCGGCCGGCGGCCCCAAGGAGAAGCGCTCCTTCAGCAAGCGGCTGTTCCGGGGCCGGGCCGGCGCGGGCTCGGGCTCGGGCTCGGCCCGCTCGCTCAGCAGCTTCATGAGCCGGGTGCTCAAGACCCTCTCCACCCTGTCGCACTACAGCTCCGAGCCCGAGGCGGGCCGGGGCCCGCCGCCCCCGCGCCTGCCCCCGCCGCCCAGCGGCCTGGCCAGCTGCTTCCACCCGGCCCGCCCGCCGCAGAGCCCCGAGCCCGAGCCGCCGCCCGAGGCGCCGGAGCCGGGCCCGGAGCCGGTGCCTGGGGTGGCCGGGCTGAAGAACCACGGGAACACGTGCTTCATGAACGCCGTGCTGCAGTGCCTCAGCAACACCGAGCTCTTCGCCGAGTACCTGGCGCTGGAGCAGTACCGCGGCGGGGGCGGGGGCGAGGCGGGCGGCGAGCCGCCCCGCGCCGGGGACGGGACCCCCCCCGACAACGGCGCCCCGCCGCCGCCCAAGGGCGAGGTCACCGAGCAGCTGGCGCACCTGGTGCGGGCGCTCTGGACGCTGGAGTACACCCCGCAGCACAGCCGCGAGTTCAAGGTGAGGCTCGCCGGGCTCGCCTTGGGGCCCGCCCGACCCCTGTCTCTGGCCAGGGCTGTCCTCCGGGAAATCAGCGCTCGCTGCACCCCTGCGCTGAGCCGGGCTGGCACAGACAGGGCAGGGGTCTGCTCAGGGCGGCCCTGCCAGGGCTCCGCACTTGGTTTGAATTGGGGCTGATTTGTATCGCCCAACGGTGCTGTGGTCCCGCACACGGGCATCCCTTGTTCACACCGCTAGCGTGACCCGGGCTAGGGGGAAATCGGTCAGCCTTGGTAAGGACTAACGGGAGAACTTGTAACTAAAAAAACACAAGAGGAAAGGCAGGTTATACAAGGTCATAGCTTAGTAATACTGTACATAGGCCGGGCAGGGAAACTTTTTGGCCTGAGGGCCACATCGGGTTTCTGAAATCCTATGGAGGGCCGGTTAGGGGAGGCTGTGCCTCCCCAAATAGCCAGGCGTGGCCCGGCCCCTGCCCCCATCCGACCCCCCCTGCTTCTTGCCCCCTGTCGTCCCCCCCAGGACTCCTGCCCCCATCCAACCTCCCCCGTTCCCTGACTATCCCCCCTGGGACCCCTGCCCCATCCAACCACCCTTTCTCCCTGATCACCCTCAAATCCCCTGCTCCCGACTGCCCCCCCTCAGGGACCCCTGCCCCTATTCAACCCCCTTGTTCCCTGCCCTCTGACCACCCCAACCCCTATCCACACCCCTACCCCCTGACCACCACCCCGAACTTCCCTGCCCTCTATCCACCCCCACCAGCTCCCTGCCCCCTTACCACGCTGCCTGGAGCACCTGTGGCTGGCGGCGCTACAGCCGTGCTGCCCCGAGCACCAGGACAGGCAGCGGCGCTGCCCAGCTGGAGCCAGCCACGCCACCGCGCAGCACAGAGCACCGGGTCAGGCCGCAGTTCTGCACCTGTGCTGCCCAGCAAGAGCTCGCTGCCCAGAGCATTGCGCTGGCGGCGCAGTGAGCTGAGGCTGCGGGTGGGGGGAACAGCAGCGGAGGGGCCGGGGGCTAGCCTCCTGGGCCAGGAGCTCAGGGACTGGGCAGGAGAGTCCCGCGGGCTGGATGTGGCCTGCGGGCTGCAGTTTGCCCACCTCTGACATAGGCCAGTGGTTCCCAAACTGGGGTTCGTGAACCCATGGGGGTTCGCGAAATATTACAGGGGGTTCTCAGGAAAAAATTCCCTAATGGGCCCCTGGACTTCCAAGAGCTGAGCAGATCAAAGCAAGCATATCTATCACACTGAGACGATTTAAACTTCAAGACTCATAAGAAATAGAAAGGGAGGTGGATATTTTTTGCTGTTTTTAAAATTAAATAGGCAGCTAGTATTGCTTTTAAAATTATTATGAAGAACAAGTTTGAACTTTGTTGTAACGTGCATTGTTTGCTTGGACTGCTCAAGACCTGAATGCTTGTGTAGGAGGAACTCTTTGAGTTGGCTTTTTAAATACCTTCATGCTGTTTCACATCTGATACTCATTGATGAAACGTAGGAGCCTTGTCTTATAACAGGCTTATTCAAAGTGATACAAGCTACGAAAGTGAAATCTTGGAAGAGTGTTGCCGTTTTCATAATGTAATAAAAATACTGTAATGATAAATAATAGTTGTTAATAAATAGTGTGTAATAAGCATGTCATAAAAACAAATTTTATATTTCCAAGATCACTGCTTTTATAATTTATACTCAGGTAAAGGAGAAAATCCCTGGAAATATTCATTTTTAGAAGGGGGTTCGTGAGACTTGATATTTTAGTGAAAGGGGTTCACAGGTTGTTAAAGTTTGGGAACCACTGACATAGGCTGACCTAATGTTTAACTATTTTATTTACAAGTGTGAGGGCTTTGGTATACACTAGGGCAGTGGCTTTCAAACTGCGGGTCGCAACCCAGTACTGGGTCGTGGAATGTAAGGCACTGGGTCACGGCGGCTCCGGTCAGCACGGCCGACTGGGCCGTTAAAAGTCCCATTGGTGGTGCTGCCTGGCTAAGGCAGGCTCGTGCCTACCTGTTCTGACACCGCACTGGCTCCTAGGCGGGGTGGTGGTGGTGGTGCCTGCTGGCAAGAGCTAGGTGGAGCCACTTGTGTGCCTCTGCTTAGGAGCCGGACCTGCTGTTGGCTGCTTCCGGGCGCAGCACAGTCCACGGTGCCAGGACAGGCAGAAGCCTGCCTTAGCATCCCTGCTGTGCTGCTGACCAGGACCTGCCCCAACCACAGGTGCCAACTTTTCTTGGTGCTGGTGGGTGCTTGCATGGCCCCGCCCCTCCCCAAATCCCTGCCCCGCCTCTTCCCCGAGCATGCCGCGTTCCTCCTCCCCCTCCCTCCCACTGCTTGCTGCGCGAAACAGCTGTTTTGCAGCGCAAGCGCTGGGAGGGAGGGGGAGAAGCAGGATTCAGTGGTGTGCTCAGGGGAGGCGGAGGTGAACTGGGTCGGGGAGCTGCCAGTGGGTGCAGAGCACCCACCAATTTTTCCCCGTGGGTGCTCCAGCCCCAGAGCACCCACAGAGTCGGTGCCTATGGCCCCAACCCTGCACCTCAATCCCCTGCCCCAGCCCTGAGCCCCCCCAAACCTGGAGCCCCTTTCTGTACCCCAAGCCCCTCATCCCTGGTCCCACCCCAGAACCTGCCCCCCCAGCCCAGAGCCCTGTCCCCACACCCACATCCTTCTATGTCCCCAAGCATTCCATTCCTGGCCCCATCCTCCCAGGCCTCACCCCTGCACCCCAACCCTCTGCCCCAGCCCTGACCCCGTCCCACACCCCAAACTCCTCATCCCTAGCTCCATTGGGTCGCAGGCATCAACAATTTTCTTCAATTGAGTCTCCAGAAAAAAAGTTTGAATAACAGTGCACTAGGGAGATTCCTTTATTGTTTCAATTAAGTGTTTTCAGGAGAAAAGAACTCTTTTTAGTGGATATTTCTTTTTATTCTTGGCCACAAATGTTTATCTTCTATTAAGAAGCTGGGACCAGATGTGGCCCACTAGCTCAAGTATAAGCAGATTCATAAGGCATGTTATGTTATACATTGGCAGTCACTAACCAATACCTATGTAGCTTTTTGAGTGACTCCTAGATTTCACTGAGTGTTGTTTCTCACAGTTCTGAGTAAGCAAAGATGCTAGCTGGCTGTAAACAGACAAACAGCAGATTGGAGTTTTCAGAGTTTGAAACTTCTGTAATGCAAAGCAAAAAACTAAATGGTGAAATTGAGTGTGAAGGTAAACTTGGCAGTGTTTGCAAACAGCTTGTTTCTTGTCTGTAGAGCAGCAGTTGCTTGTTAACCTGGCTATGCTAGCAATACCCTGCTTACTGTCTTAAACTAGTTCACTTTTAAGTTAGCCCCCCCTCTCTTTACTCAGCTTCAGTCTCAAGTGCCAGTGGCTAACTTTGCCCTTGGGACTAGTTTGCCTGAGAACTCTTCTCTGAATAAGTTTATAACTTATTAACATCAATACCAAACCAGGCACGTAGCAAGTTAAGTGTGTACCAGACTTTGTTTTGGTGGTCTTTTCCTATCTTAAACTTTATTCCAAAGTCCCTTGGAACAGAATTCTGGGGTTCTTGACATGTCTGAAATAATATGTATAGTTGTGTGGCCCATATGTTGCTAACTGAAAGCTGCCTGCTGGAACCAACTTGTGGCAGTGAGCAGAAGGTATATTTCAGTCGTCTGATTTGCAAAGCTGAGCAATGAACAGTTTGTAATGTGTAAATAATACTCTCTCAAGTAGTCCCCTGTAACAACTGCTTGCTTTTGCCTCAGGCCACACTTTTTCTTTGGCATTTCTATTTCTGGATGTGAAAAGGGGATTGTTTGTTTTAACTTGTGGTCTAATCATAAGCATTATTGGGCTAGGTTACTTCTTGGTGTTCCTAGGAGATCTCTCACCCTAGACTTGATCTACACAAGAAAAATTATTACCTGTATTACAACAACTGCCACCAATATTGCAGGCACTGGTGTAGTCATGGCACCATGACAGGACAGAACAGGTTTGCATGACTGCCCTAGCAGCTTACCGCTAATGCAGTGGTTTTCAATCTATTTACCCTTGAGGGCCGCATATGCAGCTCTCTCTGTGTTATGTGGACCACATCCACACAATATATAGCACATCCTCAGGGCCACAGAGGTAGTATATCTCATAGAACTGGAAGGGACCCTAAAAGATCATCAAGTCCATCCCCCTGCCTTCACTAGCAGGACCACGTACTGATTTTGCCCCAGATCCCTAAATGGCCCCCTCAAGGATTGAACTCCCAACCCCGGGTTTAGCAGGCCAATGCTCAAACCACTGAGCTATCCCACCCTGTCACACTGGCTGCAGCTGTGTGCTGATTGGGCCACAGGTTGAGAACCATTGCACTGGTGCTGTAATATGACTTCCAATTTTTGTAGTCTAGCTGCAGGTGCTGTAGGACGTGGTGTTAGTGATTCACTTCCCAGCATGATGCTGGGGAGTACTGTATTGACGCTGTCTTTCAGGAGGAATGCAAAGTGTGGTTCTAATTTGAAACATGCCTCTCCATAAGGGGCCTTGTGGGATTCAACTTTTGTATTTCAGCAGCTCCAGAGACCTAACTTAGCCTCTAAGTGTCTTCAAAAAAGCAAACTTGCATTTTACATGATAGTGCCACAGACTCAAGCAACAAATCAAATGAGGTTCTTTCTGGCTCATATATGGTCACCAGTAATAAATATTCTGCAGATCAGATTCTATCCTTAGTAACTCCAGTATTTTCATTCTCAGTGTTTTATTGAAACTTGATAAACAATTCTGTTGGTTTTCTGAGAGCCCGAAAAGCATCCACCTTGCTGTCTGGACTCTGCAGTGCTAATGTGTTAAAACTAAAACTTGTTTTTGTCACTCAAGTGAGCAAGTCTGACTCTGATTACATGCAGAAAGTAGGTCTGTTGAATAGCAAGATGCCATTCTTACAGAGTCAGTCATTTTAAAGAGTAGATTCTTACACTCAAACCAAGTT